TATATATATATATATATATATATATATATATATATATATATATATATATATATATAGGTTCAAGTGTTTAAAATAAGTATTGTGTTATTGTATGCATAAATGTAGGCCAATCAAAATTTAAAATAAAAATAAATAATTAAATAAATAAATAAGGATAAATAGGTAATTTTATAATTTGTTTCCACAAATAATATCCTAGAATTATGGTAAGTTTTCTCCGTCCATCGTTGGCTTTTTAAAACCATGTAAACTGTAACCCTAATCAAACCATCTCCAGCCGTCACCTCCGCCTCCCACCACCGGCCGCCACCTTACCCATTTGTCCGATCCATCTCATAGTCCTGTTTCTGAGGTTAGTTTCATCTCTAAATTTTCTGATTTCTCAAATTTCATCATCTGGATCGATTTTTCAGCTTAATTCCTTGTTTCTTATCACCCAAATTTGAAGATTCTATTAACTATCGTTTTCAGAATAACGTTATCGCGATTGAATAAGCTTCCAAGATAATGCTTCCAAGTTCTATTTTATTATTATTTATCGTTTGACTATTTTCAGTTCATTACGAAATCTAACAATATTATAAGACTACGCGATTGAAATTCTAACCCATGGGTCGTTTTCTTTGAAAAATCTCTCATTTTTATTTCATAATCTGAATTTTAAGCGTTTATGCATTTGAAACCGATTGAATTTCTGTTTTCGTGTAGAGGATGGATCGATCTGGAACAGGTTCCCACCATAGGACTTCAATTTCTCATAAACTTAATCTCGAGGACAACAATGGCGGAAATTTCGATTCATTTAGCAACGCGAGTTTAATGGAGACTGAAACCAGATCTCGTGCTCAAACTCGTAGCGCTTCTGCCATTACTGTGAACCCACGATTAAATTGGAAGAAGATATTCAAGTTACATTTTGGGTCCCTGCAACTTAAGCGTTTTGACAATTCTGGTTTTTGTATTTTTTGTGACTTGGCGGTTTTGGTCCATTTCCAGAATCTGTTACAAATGAAGGGGAGTATGATGTAGATTTATTATCGTGAAAGATGTTCCGATGGAGGAAGGTACCAATGGATTCGTTTATAGTATTCTATCAGAAAAAGAATGTTTTTTATGATAATAATGAACATATTCTGTTAGAATACACCGAATTAATGTAATTATTGGTAAATGAATTCTAATTCTATCATAATGGAATCACGAATTCCAATTATGTTGGAATGGAATATGAATATTTTCTCAGTAATTTATTTATTGGATTTGTTTTCACAGAAGCTGATGCTTGAAGAACGGACCACGAAATTTGAACGACGCCTCTTAGCAACATTATTTTTTTAGAATGAATTAGTGTGTTTGTTAGATTTTAATGTTTTTCTTCCCGATTTGAAATTTTTTTAGTTTTATTCTTTAACAATAAATGTAATTCTTAGCAATTGTTACATGTATTCTATAAGAATTAATATAATTTTTGTTTTAATTCTTCAATTGCTGGTTCGAGAATTTGTTATTCTACAAGAAATATGTTCAAGAATATTTTTATTATTTTATGCTTCTTGAATATTTTCATTTTTGAACATACTCAAACATATTCTGTCAGAATGTCCGAATTAAAAACCTTATAATTCGTAAAATCGG